CATCTTATGATTCAATTACACATTTAGATATATGCACTAGGACCTATTGCCATTGGAACTACCGTAAATAAAAAGCTGAAAATGTGCATCCAAACTTGAATAAAATATATTTTTCTGGGATAAAAGTATCTCATACAGGATCTGCTGTGGCAGATTGATTAAAGCAATTTGAAACAATATTCAAAATAACCTTAGAATCAGTGGGACTTACAGTAGTTGCTGTGGTAAGTCACCCGTATGGAAAACAGAAAGCCTGGGTTTTGTGTCCCAGCTGGGGCTAATGGGCTGCTTGTGTGGGTCGTTAGGCAAGATCCTTTACGCTAATGCCTGCTTTACGGAGTGCAGCCTAGAGGTTAGGACATTGCACTTGAAATTTCTGAGGTTCTGAGTTCAAGCCCATTCCCATGGACTGCCCCTCTGGCACCCTGAGCAAAGGCCCTTAACAGCACTCTGCTCTCCAGGCCTTGTTTGGACTGCCTCTGCCCCCCAAGGAGTTGAGTTAAATGCAGAGATTTAATTTTGTTGCCAATAAATTTCAGGTAGATTTGAGGTACAGTTCATTTTAATGTGGACAAAACACCTGAATTTCAATCATCATAACAAACATTGAGATATCTGTTGGGGCCAAGAGTCTTGATATTCTTGTTCAAAGTGAACTTGCACCATCACCCAAAGGAAATCTCCTCTAAATTACTCTTTCTGTTAAGTAAGCAGTCTGTTTCCTTTTGGCTGCTTCATTAGCACTTTTAGTCTGTAAGCTGGTAGAACCAAAATGAATTAAATGAAGTTCATCTTTAAATAACAAAAAGTGCTTTTTAAAGGAATACCAAACGTATGGAATCAAAATCTTCTTATCTTCAGAGAAATAAATAATAACATAATAATAATAATAATATTTAGTATTATTTGGAATTATGCCAACCATTTCCACAAACATGTATCTGGTGCTCATGGTCTGAATTTATTTTCATTGTGTGTTACATTTTCGCTTGCATAATGATTCCTATTTTGTTTGTGTGGAAATGTTGAAATGCTCTTTAAATAACATAATCAGTCTACTGTTTGGTTTTAATTATTGGTTCTTAAGAAGGTGTTTTAAAAAAAATCCAAATAATTTATCTCTGCGAATTTACAATGTCAATTTCTGATTAATTAATCCAGCACTGAGATAGATCTTAAGCTGGCTGAGTCCTGATTTAATGAAAAGACATTGATAGAACCTGACCAAAGAGGATTTTCCAGGACATACTTAGCAAGACTATATCTTTCAGATTCTACTGCAACTGTTTGTGTCACGTTTGATGCATTTGTCTAATTTTCGTCTGATAGTCCCATGGGATTTTCCTTCAGATTTCTTTCCAAACCAGGAAATGTTACAGTTTTGAACATAAAATAAGTAACTAAAAGACGCCCAAAACAAACAGTTCCAGGGCAGACCTCTGTGGTCTATCATTTTAGAGTGAACTGTGGACAAACGGAGCTGCTGTTGGAGAAGGGAAGTTGACTTTCCCTCCAGTCAAGAGGAAAAAATCCCTAGGGTAGAACACAAGTTGGTTTCAAGAAAATATACATCCTGCCTAAACCATCTCTACAGTTATTTTGCCAACAATTGTGGTGAAGCAGGTTCCCAGATTAGAGGTGGTTTTGAAACTTTTAGAAACCTACATATCCTTTCTCCCCTAAAATTAATAGAAACTACTGTATTAGAACTCATAATGATACATGAAGCTCCTTACTTTAAACTTTCAAGAGAGACTTGTCTGTGATAAAAGTTTAATTTTTAATTAACTTCCTTTTTCTGCTTTTAGCAGTAAAGTTAGTAGAATTCATTTTTCTATTTGTGTAGTTTATACTTGAAAGTTAACATTATTTACTATAAGAAAAAATTAATAATATTTAATTACATCAGCACCTTTCCCTTTTGAGATTTTTAAATACCACATATTGTATAGAAGTATACAAGTATTTAGGATAGATTTAGAATATATCTGAGACTGACCGACCAATGTCAATTTACAACGTTAAAACTATTTTGTTAAATCCACTTGTAATCAAAGCTGTCTAAATAGGATAAGGAAAGGATTTCTGTTATCTCCCCTTTCATTAGAAAGAAACAGAATAATGTCTGTATAAAAACATCTTGTAAACTTCAATTATCCATTATGAATATTCTTGATATTTATATTTCTTTCTGCTTTGCTGCTTAAGTGCCTTCCTTGAAAAAAAATAAATAAATAAAATTCTCAACAGGGTTTGTTTTTTTCATCATGCAAAGACTTATGCACATTCATGCATGCAAGTCTCTGTGTAAGCTGCAATGATATGACCATTAGAGGGAACAGCCAAAAAGACCCAATCAGTCAGTGTTTGTTACAAGTTGCTCATGTGGTCAGAATGCATTTAAGTGCCCACAAGTTTGTTATCATTAAATTCCAGCTTTTAATTGTTAAGATCATTGCATTTAAATTTTCAGTGCTGATTAACTATAAACTGTGAAGGGATATATGAGTAATTAGTAGATAGACAAACTATCTGTCATGAAGTAAGCAGTCCTTTATAACTGTCCCCGAAACTCAAGCTGAAATTAATAAAAAGAGGAACAATGGAGGGCAGAACAAAAGCAAGAGAAGAAAACAAAACTAAGACAGATGAATTGAAAAAACATGCTTTTTTCCTCATTTGGGGGAAACAAATTGTTCCTCCTTTTAGTTTTATAATTAATTTTTCATTTCCCATTATGTATATACATTCCTTTGTGTTAATCACAAAGCTTTGTACTGAGTTTAACCATTTTGTTCATGAATAACAAATAAAAAATGCTATATTGTTAATGTGTAAACAGTGCAAATGGTACCAAATGCAATGGTTTTGTATACATTGTACTTTATCTCTCTTAACAATCTAATACTTTTTTTGTCGATCCTACCACCAGAGGGAGAAATAACAAACCTCAGAGATCTTAGTATATCCTATTTTTCTACCTTGATGATTCAGATATCAATGCTTTTTTTTTTACATAGATAGATAGATAGATAGATAGATAGATAGATAGATAGATAGATAGATAGATAGATAGATAGATAGATAGAT